CCCTTTGAGGCGCAATTTCCTATGACGTCACAAAGATGTGGAACGCTATATAAATTCCCTTCTTTAATGAAAAATGAATGCCTTCTTTAATGAATGAATGCTCTCCCCTTAAAAAAATTGTTAAAAAACCACAAGAACAATCGACGAATGAACTGTGATTGAATAATCATCTACTCACAAATGAACTCACGCATCTGGGGGTCCAGGGTGGTGATCATGGAGTTGACGCTGCTCTTGGCTTTTTCAGCGACTTTGCTCAGCATCGAGTTATTGACGACAGTGTCCTTCACCCAGGAGAAGAGGGCCCCACTGACGGTCCCCAGCTCCTGGGGCAGTGACTCCTGGACGGGGGTCCCCTCGGGAGCATCGCTGGACGCCGAGGTTGAGGGGAGCACCTGCTGGCCCTGCTGCGGCTGCTTCGTCTGGACGATGACGTTGGCCTCGATGGGCACGTTTGGAGGCACTGGATCGCTCGGGGGGGCCACCACTGGGGCCGGAGTGGCTACGAAACTGGGGAGGGCTGATGGCGGTGCTATGTTCGATAGCAGACTTCCGGTTGACGTCGAGATGCCCAGGGGGGGCAGCAGGGACGCCGAGGACGATAGACTGCTGGTGGAGTCTGTTGGGGAGGTGTAGGTGAGCATTATCAACTTTTTTTCGTCATTGATTTTTTGCAGGAGAATTAAGGATGTCCAAGTATCACAGTTTTGTATAGACGAGACTTTAGATTCAACCATTTTCAATCGTCAAATTTACTCGGCGTCATTTAAGCTACATTTTCTACAGAATTATTTTTTTATGAACAACGAATGTTTAAACAATTCAATCATTTTTTTTAAATTCATTGTTTATAAAAGGAAAAAAATTATTGCAACCATTTCAATTATTTTTTTAAACATTCGTTGTTTATTTAAAACATTGTTGAAATTGTTTCAATAATTTTTTTCGTTGTTTTTTTTATAAACAACGAAGGGTTGAAAACATAATCGACATTGTTTCAATTATTTTTTAAACATTCAATTCAATTATTTTTTTTATAAACAACGAATGTTTAAAAAGATAATTGAGCATAAACAACGAATGTTTAAAAAAATAATTGAATTGAATGTTTCATTCGTTGTTTATACAAAATAATCGAAATTGTTTTCAGAAATATTGAGTGGAGTGATAAATAAGTCATCAAGTAATTTGTGAAAATTTGCACTTTTGGTGCTTGTGGATTTACTACAACGAATACAACGAATATTTAAAAAAAAAATTGAATTGAATGTTTCATTGGTTGTTTATAAAAAATAATTGAAATTGTTTAAACTTTCAAAAACCTTGATTTTTCAGGGATGAAATCGATTTCTGGATAAATCCTGAATATGAATAAATTTTTTGTGATTCAGAATAAAACCCAAGCCCATCCCTCAAAAAATCCTACCAGATCTCACGTTGTCCCCTCCGCCCGAGAGGTCGTCCCTCTTGTCCACGAACTCGAACGTCGACTCTCCATTGGACTCATCCGTCATCTTCCTGGATCAATTCTACCCCAACAATCTCACTATCAAAACCAGCAACGTCAACACCAATTGTTTATAAAATGTCGGATCAACAGGACTGTTTTGCACTCGCAACAATGGTCCCCGTGACACGTGGCGCTAGTGACTACTACAATTCTCCCTTCAGTTCCTTCACCGTAAACCACTTCCAAATAAACGAAATCAGTCAGCACCAGCACGTGTCCCTCAAAGACAATTACTCGAGTGAATCAATCACTTAATTAACTCTCCCATCCCCACAATCCCAAACATACTTCCACCGATCCACCAGATTATCAGTAAATACCCCTGAATTATTATTATTATTATCCTCATGATTATTATTCCCACATGATGATTATTCCTTGTGTACAAAAGTAGTTAAAAAATTCCTGTCAGATGTCAGTGCCTCAAGTTTCCTGACCCTCAGCACGTGTTACTCATCAAATTCTATTTGATTCGATGAAAAAATACTGTAAAACTAATTAATTAAATAAGGTAAATGACCCTACGCTCGTCTAGCTAAGGTGACCACATCATTAGTCCAATATTTCTTTCGAAATGAATATGAAGACGTGATGGTTTAAATTAGACATCAGAGGGTAAAACCTTCAGGATTAGAATTCACTGATATTAATCATGACAACTACTATTTTTTAATAAATAATCGTCCATAAATGTGACAAGTCCCCTGTCCCTACGCTTGCTCACTTGTCCCCATGCACGTTTGACACATGTCCCTATCCTCATCTCGTGATTTGAGTGATATGGAAGGGTTATATTCAACTAATAACATCGTGAGTATGCTATTTTGTGATAAAACAGCATTAAAAAATATCTCGAGGCACTAAATTATATTTCAATTGGACAGTCCAACCTTTTAAATGATTTTTCCATCCATTGAGTCCGTTACCAATTGACAGTTGGTTGCAAAACGAGCACAGGATCAATGCCACTTTCATTGTACCTATTCTGTTAATTGCCGATGTTTCAGTGAAATATTAAGATATTACTATAATTTATGCATTTTTATTGAATTTTAAATTATCTGAAACCTCACTCAAAGGATGTTTAATCCCATTTTACTATTATGACAGAGATGTCAACATTTCAGTAACGAAGTGGTAAAATGGTACAAATCAATTTTGACTATTGGCCAGTTTTCAATGAATATCTCGGAATCTAGAGGAGACAGAAAAATTTTTGTTATAACCTTTTTTGTAGAGCCTATTCAGAGCTAAAACAAATGTAATTGCAAAAATTTCGCTATTTCTCTTGGATTTGAAAATATTCTTCAAAAACTCAACTAAGAGATAAGTCGACTTAAACCGTTTTAAGGATTCACTCTGGCGTAGCATCAGTTGATGTGAATGGGATTTTTCTCTCTTATTCTTCAATAAATCCCCGTTCATTGGTGTCGATAACTTTCCATATCAACTAAACTAATATCTCCAATCGTATTTCACTCTTAATAGATTCTTGGGGCTGTCAAAATGATTAAAATATGATAGCTCACGACATCGGAACGGGCATAGGGACAGGGACGAGCATAGGTACATTCGCCTTAAATAATTAATCGTTGATGTGATTGTGATAAAGTGAAGAATCGTAGATAAAGTGAAAACGTAGATGTGGGAGCCATCAAGTGGGCGCTACACCAACTACTCTTGGCGGGCAACCAATGAGATCACTGGGTTCTCCTTGATCTCATTGGTTGAGCTCCGTGATTGGTTCCCTCCAACGGATCTCATTGGTTGCCCCCCAATAGTAGTTAGTTTAGACACCACTTGGTGGCTCCCACATCTACGTCGCGATCGTGAATTAAAATAACGCGAATTAAAATAATAGTTCGAAGGATGGAATTTGTCTAGAAGTGATGGTGAAGAATTGGTGAAAAAATGACTAAAAAAATGTTTTAAAAAGTTGATGAAGTACTTGAACAATTGTGGTACTTCTTTCCATCTTTGACAATGGTGGAAAGGACAGAAGAGGAGGGGATTCCCCCGGACGTATCGAAGACTGTTCTTGAAGTTCTTGGGAATTATTCTGACGTGAACAGCAGTCGTGAGGCTACGAATGTTGACGAGCTGATGCCGATGGTAAGAAGGTCTTTGCGCGGATACAAAAACCGCGACAGTTCTTCAATTTTGAACGACGATGACGGCCCCAGGCCGCATCCTGGCAGACTATCGAGATCGCTGATCAAAGCATCAGTCAAGCGAAAGAGGATTGACGACGGTGGTGGGGGTGTTGAGGGTCCTGATGAGGTTCTGAAGAGGATTGGGGTCCCCAGGAGCAGGAGGAGTTCTGTGTTCGGTGGGAAGAAGTCTGTGGGGGCAGGAGAATCCTCCTCGGAGGGAGGGGATCGGACCAGGGGGGGCGATGGGGCTGGAGGTGGGCCTGGGGGGGATCCTCTGGGGATGACTTCCCCGAGAGCAGGCGCAGGGAGGCGTCCTTCGGCCGATGAGAAGCTGATCGTGACCCCGGCGAAGGCCAGGGGGTTCTCCATCAACTCGGATGTGGAGTACGAGAGGGTCTGTGAGTCTGTCAACAGCCAGGACGACTTCTCCTTCGAGGGGGTGCCCTTCTTCAACAACTTCGATGTTATCAATGAGATTCTGGATGACAAGGTGATTCATGGGTCTTCATTCAGTCATTCCGATTTGATTCATTGTCTTTTGAACATCAGACACTTCGTCACTCACGAGATGAGGCAGTCAAAAATTTTCAGAGGTTTTCTTTATTCATTAATGTATTGTCAGGAGTCAAGAGTCAGGATTGATAACAAATACGGTCAAACTTGACTGAAAATACAACATCTACTCATCCAACATAATGAACACACAGACCCTTTCTTTTTGCATCAACTATCAGGTACATAAAATGTAAACACTTGGCTGAAGACCCCCGGGCGATGGCCAGTAGCGAGTTCCTTGGGATTTGCAGCAAATTTCGTTAAAAAAAAAAAACATCTAAAATATAAAATGACGAGGATTAAAGTCCCCCAGACTTAATGTATCGATAATGCTCCCAATTGCTTTCGATCTTCCCTCTATCTCTCCCCATCGAACACTGACTCATCCCCAACTCTCTCATTTCATTCTCCTTTAATTCAGTAGCGAAGTGGTCAAACGGTTTAAGTCGACTCAGCTCTAAGCTGAGTTTTCGAAGAATATCTCAAAATCTAAGGGAGATAGCGAAATTTTCGTTCTCATCTTTTCTGAAGCTCTTAATATGCTCTACCGAAAAGGTCATTACAACAATTTTGCTGCCTGCCTTAGATTGCGAGATATTCATTGAAAACTCATGAGTAGTCAAAATCGACTTAAACCGTTTGACCACTTCGCTACTGAATTTCTCTCTTCGTTACCAATTCCTCGCCACCAATACCCTCATTTCTTCAGTTATACACTCAAATAATTCCTTATTCGTTCGTCCCCAGGTGATGGCCAGTCTCCTCGAAGACGACAAGCCCAGAGACAGCCCGTACGACGTCAATAATCAGGAGAATTCTCACAATAATGACGACGATGACGAACCCCACGAAGAAGAAGAAGAAGACGAAGAAGAAAATGCCTCCCCCGAAGCCCCGCGAAGGTCCTCGCGTCCGAGACCCCAGGAATACCTGGACCTGGAGGACTCAGAACTCGAGGAAATTCTGGAGGAGCCCACGGAGGAGCCCCTCCCCGCCGCGGTGATCCTCAAACTCCGGAAGATAACCGTAAAACTGGAGCACCCAGTGCCGCCCCAGCACGAGATAGAGCAGGGTACAATCCGCAGAGGCCCAAACCCCGAAGAGAGGCTCCAGTTCCAGAAGTACTGCACCCTGAAGGAGGGCAGATTCTCCCCCGAGGAGAACAAAATCCTCAAGAACAACTGGAAACGATTCTGCGAGGTGCACGACCTGGACATCCCCCAGACCCACTTCTTCAAGTGCAAATACCAGGGGAGGATGTACATAGAGAGTGTCGAGGAGAGGAGGAACTTCATCAAGTTCCTGGCCCGCGGATTGCCCTGGAGGACGCTGCGAGCTGTCTACGTCAGGTTCAAAATGATGTTCGGGTTTAGAAGGCAAGCCAAGTCCAAGAGGTACACTGAGCAGGACGACGAGAAGATCGTGAGGTACATGGAGTGCAAACCCCCCCTGAGGAAGTCGCAGGTGTTGTCCAGGTTGCTGGGGAGGCCCTACGCGTCGATCTACCAGAGGTACCTCCAGCTGAGGAGGCGGAGGGAGGGGAATCCCCCCAGGAGGAGGGTCACGTGGACTCTGGGGCTGATGGAGGAGTTCCTGAAGAATCTCCTGGACGTGACAATCAGTGAGGACGTCAGGGACCTCAAGGACGCGATGATTCCGAAGGTCGTTTGGCTGAAACTCGAGGAGCTCATGAACATCGAGTTCAGTGTGCTGAAGAACTTCTGGATGATGCAGCTGCATGGGCAACTCTTCTTCCCGAGGACCATTTATTTCAACGAGATTAAGATCATGCTGATTGAGTATCTTTATGGGAGGGGCATCACGGACGTCGAGGAGCTCGAGTGGGCGAGGGTCGGCAGGTGCTTCGATGGGTTGACAACGCAATTCCTGAGGAAGATGTGTCCCAGGGTCATGAAGACAGGGAGGACCAGGTCCATGGGGGATCTCGTTGAGAGGCTCTATGAGGAGAAGATTCCCATTTTGAAGGTCGTGAAGGAGGACAGCTACTTGCCGAGGGTCAAGTGGGAGGCGGGGAGGCTGAGGGTTGTTGATGAATTTGGGGATGGAATTTCGTAATTTTTTCCACAATTTTTCCAATTGCCTCATCTGTCCTCTTCCCCATTGATTAATCTGAAGAATTGTCCATAAATACGCTCCTTCGATTTATTCTCGATTATTACCTCTTCAAATGCAACAATATTCGCTACAAAAGGGCTATTTTTGCACAATGGAATCGTCTGAGGTATTCAAAAATATGAATAATTAAAAATGATGTCAATTATAATTAGTCAATTATTGCATTAAAAAATCGCAACAATGTGATTCCACTGGGATATCCTGAATTAATTGAAAAATCCTTTATTCTCGACACCCTTACAATGTTGAAGGACTTGGGGGATAAAATAATCCTGTGTAAATGCATTGTAAATTTATTATCGTTATTTTATAACCCTCGATTAAATAATTTAGTTAACAGTCGACTTCTTGGATTCTTTTTCAATGGCCCGTTCCTTGGCCTTCTGGTACAGGGGGACGAGCTTGCCTTCCTTGGCGAGTAGTTTGAGCAGTTCCATGATAAGGGGGAGGTAGTTGTGCTTTCTCCTGATGTTCTCGATCTTGTATCTCTGGGATTTGTTGTTCTCCTCTTCTATCAGGGATTGGAGACGCGCTATTTCCACTGGATCTGTGCAATTTGACTTTTTTCTCTCGTACAGCATCTTCCGGTCGGATACTATGGCCATCAAGTTGAAGTGAATTTCTCCCTCGTTGTATCTGGGTGAATGATCAATATTTTTATTTATTTATGAGTTTGGGGGTGAATCAGATCGAGAGCAATTGGGATTATTGTCGATACACAAAGTTTAGGGGACTTTAAAGCAGCTCTACCCTTCGGCCGGGCTACGCTGTACTTTTGGATATTTTCAGTTTTTAATTTTTCAATTAAATTGCATGGAAAAAATTTGAACAAATTTATACCCAGTCAGTATTATCTTAATTAAATTTCGCAGGATACTGATATTTTTGCAAACATTTCCCTCTTATAAGAAAATAATAAAGCTTGTTTGCAAAACGGTGGATTATTTTTCATGAGGTGTCAAAAAAATCTTGATTTTTTCACATTGTTAGAAATCCAACCCACATTTCTATAAGAATCGATTCGAATTAGCCAAAACTAACAAATATGGTCGGTTCCGAACTTGACCGAGGGGCCGACTGGCGAACGCTATCAAATCTGAAAAGTCAGTAATAAATCGTACTCGTAACTGAACCCACGTCGTTCGTTATCATCAAAATCACGCAGAAAGTCAGCACGGAAATCAACAACTATTACCGAACGTTATCATCTGAAATAAACATACAGTCCACTAAATAATCGAAGCTCAACAAAATAACGGAAACTCAACTATTGTAAATAGTGTAAATATCCTCACATTATATTAAATTCAATCAGAAAAAACAACGCGAGTTTAATAATTTCAAACACCACCCGACCCCGGCCATAATTAATAGAAATTAACATCCTATTTGTAACACACATCTAATGAAAAAAAATCAGATTTTAATCTTTGATTACAATGGAAATGTTGATTTTCACATAAGACACTGGGTTGAAACCTGATTTTTAAACATTTCTTCTTTGAAAAACCAAAACGATAATTAAATTGAGAAAAAAATTAGAATTCTGAATCTAATCGAGTTTTCTGCAGTTTTTTTTGTAGTTTTCAATAATCTTTGAATTTACCGTAAGGGTAGAGCTACTTTAATCCCTGTGATTGTATATTTTAGACTTGTATTTTCAATGAAGTTTCACCATATTTGTTATCAATCCTCATGACCCTTGACAATTATTGTCCATTAAGTTTATCGAATTTTCCATTGTTAAATAAAGTGTGATGAAGACGATTGTGTGTTCAAATATCCAATGATTAATTTAATGTGTTGAATTTGACCGAGGGGAAGGCAATGAATCAGATCAGAAAGCCTCATAACATGTATATATGACCGTATTATGGCCGAAAAATCAATTAAGTAATAAATTAAACGGTTGAATGGAAATTTTCAGATCAGAAAGCCTAAGAGGAGACGATTCCCCAGATATTTTCCATCAAAATTAGATTAATTACTTGTTCATTCGCTTCTGGATGATGGGCCGAGCTGCCTGCACCCACTGGTCCCCAGGGGGGCATGGTCCCAGGTCCATCGGACCCTCCTTCAGCCCATCCAATTCGTACAGACGACCATCGATTGGAATATAACTCACAAAGTGGAATACATCGTCGTCCTTCGAGGCTTGCTTTGAGTCGAACTCAAAGAGTGTTTGTCTAAAAATTTACAAATTCATAAATACGTAAGCATCCCCAGAAGTTTATGAAGCAATGCATTATGAAATTAATGTATGATAAACCCAAACAAATACCTCGAAAAGGAATTGTGAACCTGTCTGATGATGTCTGAATTACTCAAGGCAAGTCCTCGCATCGTGGCATCGAAGCTCTGGCAAAAGCTCTTGAATTCCTCCAGATTACCCCCAATAGACACGTCAGGATGCTTACAGTTGAGTAGAACACTGACGATTGCTTGAGTGGCACAGGCATTATTAATTACCTATAATAGAGAAAAATCCAACGTCAAACATTAAACCGAAAATGGTCATGTAATTATCACTTCACCTGTTTAGCAAAAAATATTTTCTCCAATCTGTTGTCCTGCACGAGAGTCCCAGCTGGTTCGTCATCCTGGACCCATTTGAACAAGAATATCAACCCATGAAGTGGTCTGAAAAATAAAATAAACATTTAGTGGAACCTACACTGAGAGAAAAACGATAAAGTTCTCGAACAAGTCTTACTTGTGCCAAGAAAATAGTTTTTTGAAAATTATCAAAAAAGGATTTTTTGTGTCAAACATGCAGAGAGTGCACCGGAATGAAAAATTTTTGTCGCAAAAATAGATTTAGTAGTTCAAAAAAAATTGCATTCTCTGTGCACACAAGAAATGTAATTTCTAGCACTACTCCTTCGTTAATCGATACTTCCGTACGTATTTTACTCCCGAAAAATCTTTGTTTCATACGAAACAAGGGATAGTAGTTTTTCGTTTCGGTTGTCTAATAATCACAGACAACAAATGAACCCTTAAAAGAAACAATAAAAATTATATGATGAATTTTCCTCTGTATGAGATATTTTCATCCTGAAAAGGCACCGTCTGGCTGAAGGGAATCCAAATTTTCTCAGGAATCGAATGAAATAGGTTATAAGGCTCTAGCTCTCATAGTTTCCAAGATAATCGCGAAAAACAAAATCGCAGAAAAAAATTAATTTAATTCATCTTGTATGGGGTGTAGGAAGTGGAAAAACGCAATTCTGAGCCGTCCATCGGCCTATAGAGAACCCAAATTCGGATTTAAGGCTCTATCTCTAATAGTTTCCGAGATAATCGCGAAAAACGAAATCGCAAAAAAAAAATTTAATTTATCTTGCATAGGGTGTAGGAAGTGGAAAAACGCAATTCTGAGCCGTCCATCGGCCTATAGAGAACCCAAATTCCCTCAGGAATCGAATGGAATAGGTTTTAAGGCTCTATCTCTCATAGTTTCCGAGATAATCGCGAAAAACGAAA